TCGTCGACGCCCGGCGACGTGTCTTGACGCTTCAGAATGCCCCTCAAGTTCTGTTCCGCAACGACCCTCCCCTCGAGCTAGCAAATGTGCCTGGTTTGAATGCCACTGGAGGCGAAGTTAGCTATGTCACCTTTGGTATGAATTCACAATATGCCCTCGATCCCCATTTTAGTACTGACTCGGCTTGCAGTTCTGTTCCCTCGACACCTGACCCCGCAGCGTCGTTATGAAAACATTTCTCACATCCAGACCTTCCGTGATTATTTCCACTACCACATCAAAGCCTCAAAGGTACGCGGTTTCTCTCAGTCTTCTTTAGATGATTAAAGAAATGATGACTAACTGTTTATCGCAGGCCTACATCCACACTCGAATGAGGAAGAGAACAGCAGACTTCCTTCAGGGTACGTATCACCCAATCAAAGCAAGTATGTCTACCGCTAACCCACCACAGTGCTTAACCGAGCTCGACCGGAGAATGAAGAACGTGAGCGCAAGACCGCTAGTGGTCGCACGTTCCGAGTGCAGGGTTAGAGCCTCGAAATTTATTTGTTTGTATCAGCCAATTCAAGTCTATTGTTTATACACTTTTTCTTTGTTTAGATACTACCTAGCAGCATATTTGTAGTGTTAGATGTTTGTTGTCTCGGCGCTTAACCAACTACTCGAGCCATTACTCTTAAGCAACCCAACCTTACATCTCAACATCTTACTTTCTATACTTATATCTCTAGCTATATCTGAACCTATAGACATATTATTGATATTATCATCACTCGAAACTGTAGTAAATCCCTTGAGGTCGTAGGAAATCACTCGAAGTTTTAGCAGATGATACGTTGTAGGTGTGCCTAAGCCTTTCAGGGACTATGGTTGATAGGCTGAGGAGTTTCCGCTTCGTTCAGGCCTTGGAAATGTTTATTTGAGGATCTATCATATGGCTCATCCTTTCTTTACCTGAAATATCTCATCTGTTTGCGTCTTATCACCCAGCTACGCGAATGATATCCCCAGCCGCTCAGATTTCCAAATTTGGAACTAAGCTTGACAAAGTTAGGGCTTTCAAACATCCATATAACCTTGGCGATGGAACATTGAACACAGATAGAGTATGAAGTTCACCAGCCATAGATACGGAGCAGATAAACAGCAATAGACGGAACAAGCATGGACAATATATGATAAAGCGTGTGCATTGTCTCACAATGTTGACATTTTCAGCAAGAAACTTGCTTCACGATTACTCAAACAAGTAATACTAGAACTATACATCACTCGAAGTCTGATTTTCCAGGCCCCTTAGGTACCTATGTAGACAAACCGTCTTCGGAGCCATTTGGAGACGCCCTTTATGGAACCTCCAACGGCTATTTGGGTATATAGTTTTTCAAATGAATGCATGAGCCACTCCACCGTGCATTGTTCTTCTACATGTTTCTCTATCTGGCAGCCAATCACGCGAAGCGGATTCCCAGCCGCTTCAGCGCGCCTAGTCATCAACAAACCTGACTAGGTAGTTCGTATTGAGCAATCGGTGCATCTTACCTGCATTTGGATATGGCAGGCATGGACATGACCTACCTAGGTATTTGGATATTGGCACATGGCATGGAAGGATCGAATCATATCAACTCTGCATCGCACCTGCCGTGAAGTTCTATACTTTTGTTGCGCAACACCGGGAGTGAATGGACGCAATAACCTGAAATAGTCTAACAAACATAAATACCAAAAAGGGTCATCCATTTCTTCTTCTTTCTTCTAATAATTTCATCTCTCATCTTTGAGCGCTATTTCAACACTGTGAATACTGAATACCGGAACAGTATGGCTCCCAATAAAGGTCTATGGGGGGTTGCTCTCTCCAAACTACGAAAGAGGCAACCACGTGAACCAGAGATCCCCCATGAGACTACCCTGCCTGTTTACCCTAAGCGTCCCGTCTCAGACAGTTCCAGCGTTTATTCTGAATTCATGTTACCCCATCCTCTACCAACTGTCATGGCCATGTTCCCCCCAACCCCTCTGCCGACAGTGGCATCCGACTCCAACCTTGACCCTCTAGCAATGGCTGCAACCATTTCCCAGGCTCGCCTAAATGCTCTGCAATCAGGAGAGGACGTCGATTTGTTTTTCCAACGGGGTAAGAACTGTATTGATGCTTATGCCCAGGCCACCAAGGCCATGATGGAGAATGCCTGTGCGCGTGTCAAGGATGGAGAGGACCCTCCCTATGAAGAGATCGAACAGTTGAAGGAACGTTTCTTCAGATACTGCCAGTCAATTGCGGAGGAAGCATTGTCCCTACTTTCTCGTACTGCCAACCACCCCCGGCGGGTCGAAGTTTCCAGCAATTCGACCATGCCTTCGCTCGTCTCGTCCACTTCAAACACGACTGGGTCTGAGCCGAAGACGCCCTTGCAACCTGGCTCATCCCACAGATCAGGATTTTCTGAGGCATTGGTAAGTGATTTGCTCCATACATAGGTTTCACTTCTGAAAGAGCTGTCCCTGATCTGTGATAGCTCGCATCCAGCGGCCGGGGCCGCCTCCGTCTTTACACTGTGAGCAGCGATGAATGGGTCATGGTTCCATCCATGCCCTCGCCCACGACTCCAGCCAAGGTCGTGGCCCCCGAGACCATGGACCCGGTCGAGGAATCGATTCACCTCGGTGTCATCATGCGCATCTTTGGCAAGTTGTACACTATGTCAAAGATGATGGAGATAATCATCTTGTACTACGGCGCGGAGGTATGACTTGAGCCCACAACTTTACTCTTTCTTTATACTTCCATCTCTTGCTGCTTCGAAATACAATTGCTAACACCGGCATTCTACTCTTAGAACGACGACTCAGAGACCGGTCTACCATTCTGGATCAAACGAAGCGAACAGAACGTGTGCACCCAGAAGATGGCCGTGCTGATTGACACCGTCGAGAACCTCTATTATGCCCTTTATGCCCGCATCACCATTGAGCTGGCCAGCATTGAGCTTTGCGGTTCTTACCGAGTCGACACTAGTGCATTGCGAATAGAGCTTCCATTCCTCATGCCAGAGGCAGATCATCTCTACCGTATCGTTCTCGCATTCAAGGACGTGCTGGACTCTCCAGAGATTTGCGCAATCCTTCGAAAAGACGTTATTGCCCACTTCCAGCAAGGATACATCGATCAGATCATGAAAAAGAAAAGCAAGCCAGAGTTTCCCTGCTTTGACCCTCTCGGATATCGCCCGTTTGCGATAAAAACTGTCTCTTACCGACACGGATCTTACTGCGAGAAATGGAGAGAAGTCATTCCGTTCCTCAACTTTATCCCAGCAGAGACAATGGCAACAATGTCGGAGAAGTATCTCACCTTGACTCCAGTTACTACTCCCCCTGACGACGTTAAACTTGAGCAGCTTCCCTGGATTCTCCCAGAGAATGTGGGCATGGCTGTCTGGGACACAGAGATTGTGAGGGACTACCGCTTGGCTCATATCGCCCAAAAAATGGGCACAACCATCGGAGAGGAACGCAAAAAAGAGTCCGCCCCTGGCCTTTACTACCTCATCAGGCAACGAAAATGCATTTGCAGCTCTAATTGTTCATGTTCCTCGCAGTGTACCGAAGAGGTGGAGCGCCCCTGCCACTGTGCGGAGCGACATGTACGCATCATGGCGACCAAGCGTGGTCTTGCCCACAGACGCAATGGACCTACTTTCGCCGCTACTGCTACTACTACTGCTCGCATGTTCTTTCATGGTTTATCTGAGCTCAGACGTGATGTTGAGGCTGTTGATATTGCCATTGAATTGGACCAAGCTTTCGAACTATTCTCTCTGTTGATCTCTACGGAACGAGATATGGCTCTCCGGGAAGAGTCCCAGGCAAACTTCTAAGATCGCAGTCCTGTCACTTGGGCCACGACTTATGATTATGATTACGACTACAGACACGACTACAATTCATGATTTGCAGTTCCCAGTTCGGTTCGTGAACTACATCATAGTTCAAATGGATTAAGGATTCCCAAAGTGGGTATTCTGTACATCAGAGTTTGATGGAAACCATTCAAAACGAATTCAATCTGCAAGACGAAAACGAAAACGACCAAAAAAATGACACCAAAAAGGAGGAAAGGTCAGTCAGTTCCGGGGAAGTGATCGAAGAGAAACCATTGAAGGGAAATAATGGGAGGAACCCACAGGGTGAATAACATCATTTGACAGATATTGAAACTGATCATGAGCCATGTCATTTATTTGATGAAACCAATACGAGAGGTCTACATATTGAGTCTCGAAATGGAATTAATTCAACCCCAAATGATACCTAATGTTTCGTACAGACTCGCCTATCCCATATCCGACGATCTAACTTCGAAAACAGCAGAGCAGGCCACACGACTGCACCCCTAGGAACCCAAAAGTGATACAATTTGGATCACCCGGCTTTTTGGAATTCCAGCCCCAGTATTAACAAGGAAATCATCTTCGCCGGTATCTTGGGGCACTTGGAAGTATTCCCCAGTTTCGGCGAGCTCGGCGATTGCTGCCAGGCCGGCTAGTATGGTTTCCACCAATTCATCATTGCGGTGGACATATAGATCAGACCCCGCTCTTTGGACTCCTTACTAAAGTATGTCTTTTATAGTTCATTATAAGGACATATTGCATCTCCTCGCTGACTTGGCTGCGTATTGCTGTCCTGGAAAGCGTTCTACTTGACTGGTAGATTTTAAACACTCTCATTTGTCTTCTGGAACCCATGTGTAAAGAAAACAAAATCAAGAGCTGCAATTTAAGGGGAAATATCATCTTCGGCGATATAGACAAGAGGCTCATTGGATCGGCAGAGATATAGATAAGTAAACGTAGCCCTAAGAGTCGCGGGGTTTTTGTATTATCGACTGCTCTTTTTTTAAAAAAAAAAAATAAAAACAGATAGATGGACAAATCTAACAAATTAACAAAATTAAAGAAGAATCCCAAGTAACAAAAGAATGAGAAATATCAAGAATGACGAGATTTCACGATTTTCATATGCTCAGAGATACTCCGTAGTGTAAGGCACAGTCGGCGGCGCAGACCAGTGATATCTTCGAGACATTCTCGGCCTTCACCGGTGAATCGCATTTTTCTTCTCTGTGCCTCCAAGTCCAGGTCTGAGTCAACAATCGTTTTCTGCTGTCTTCCGGTATTCTTTCTCTTCATTTTTCACTTTCATGCCTTAATGCCCCAGAAATCCGCCGAGCCCATCTTGGCGCACAGAGAGCCAAGTTAGGGATGGTAACCAAGGCAGTGTCACATTCATTATCATCATCATGGACGTCCATTAGCAAGTGGATCGCGAACATAAGCATAAATCAAATTCCGATCCAGAGTGCCCACCTCCGACAACCGAGCACGGCACGGCCATATCACGCGGCAGTGTGGCCCTCCTACGGCATCACCACTCCCGTCCCCGCTAAGCCCTTGGGTTCCCCCAAATCGCCCTTTCGATTCGATACTGGCTACGCTCTATGTGCCAAACGACCCTCACGACCCTTCCCTCCACCTTTTCTGTCCCCACCCTCTTCATCCTTCTCGGATCCTTTGACGACACACGGACTTAGCCAGGATAAGAGATTATCCGTCAAGGGCGAGCTAGTCCGCGGCTTGAATAATGGAGACGATGCGATCATCGTTGCGGAGAACTTTATAGGCGTCGATGATGGCGTAGGCGCCTGGGCTACGAAACCTCGTGGTCACGCTGCGTGAGTTCTCTCGTCTCAATTTTTATCCTATGCGCACGATCGCTGACTTTTTCATTCATACAGACTCTGGTCTAGACTCCTATTACACTTCTGGGCCCTCGAGGTCGAAAAGAACGTGGACCACCACATGCCCACCCTCGACCCGGTCGGATACCTGCAGTATGCATACGAGGAGACCCTGCAGGCAACCACGTCTCCTACCGAGTGGCTCGGCACGACGACCTCCGCCACTGCCATACTACACTGGACCAAGGAAAAAGACGGCACGCATAAGCCATTGCTGTACGTTACAAACCTGGGCGATTGTAAGATCCTCGTGATTCGACCAAGCGAGAATAAAGTTCTTTTCCGCACTGCGGAGCAGTGGCATTGGTTCGATTGTCCCATGCAGCTTGGCACAAACAGTATCGACACACCCCGAAAAGATGCAGTCATGTCTAAAATTGCGGTGCAGGAAAACGACATCGTCCTGGCGCTCTCGGATGGCGTCATGGATAACCTCTGGGAACATGAGGTTCTGAAAGTCGTTATGGACAGTATTGACACGTGGGAGGAAGGGCGCGTGGCGCCGAAGAATGCTACACGACACCCTCATCTCTCTGATGATCGCAATGTCTATGTCGCCCGGGAACTGCTTAATGCCGCTCTGACGATTGCCCAGGATCCTTTTGCAGAGAGTCCCTTCATGGAGAAGGCTGTGGAAGAGGGTCTCGCTATTGAAGGGGGCAAAATGGACGATATTTCCGTCGTCGTCGCATCCTGCGAGAAAAGTGATGGATGAGAGGCAGCTATTCGCTTTATGGCCAGATTTTCCTTCACAAATTTCCACCGGATCTTTGAATTCCACGCTACCCTCGGCCGTACGCCAGTTTTCATTGACACCACACCTCGGCCCGCAAGGCAGGCTTTTATTTCCCGTCTAGCCTCAATGCTAGATGCTCATACATATCGCCAAAAGCTTGTCCCGCCACATCGCTATTGTGTAGCTATGATGCCTTGCAAGTGTCGAATCAGGACCCAGACATGCATTGCAGTCAAATACCCACCCGCAGGAAATCATAACCCCCGGTCTTCCGGCACGAGGCTTGATTGCTCAGTCGTCATACTCCCATCCGTTGGTATCTTGCATCGGCTCAGACAACTATATGACCAGCGGAGAACGTGCATCGGTGGTTTGCGAACACACCAAAGACCTGATGCCACCCTGTTAAGCTGGTGATTCCTACCTATAACATATATCCCCTCTACCACATCTGTTTCCTTACATGTATGCATTCACCTATGAGGTATTCCATTGCTGGTGCGATGTGGCTTCTCTGCCCATCATTTAATAGCCTTCTCGGTTTAAAAAGAACAAATAATAATATCTCTTCGGCTCAATACCTAGTATCCTGTGTCATTTCTCATCTGCAAGTCTGCGGAGATTAGTAAATGAAAAGTATAGGGTACTTAATTTTAAGGATAAATGCCCCCACTTGGACAAAGTACTGGGTACCTCAACATCAGCACAGACCACAGCACCGCCGCTTCCGCCCGGCAGAATGAAAAAAGTTTCGGTCGACGGAGAAGCTCATGACTTTTGCTGCATTCAATTCTCAAATACTTGACATTCATCATTCACAATGAGGGCCAAACGTTCAAAGAAGTATCGCAAGCTTATGCACCAGTATGAGCTCACTTTCGGTTTTCGAGAGGCGTACCAGGTCCTGGGTATGTTCCATTCAATGCATTGCTCTGATGTCCAATACTAATCTGCGCTCGAACAGTTGACTCGAATTTCCTTCGCGCCACCGACTCCTTCAAGATGGATCTGATTCCTGCGCTTGAACGAACAGTCCAAGGCAAAGTCAAGCCTCGTGAGTCGCACCGAACACCAAAGGTGCCATCCGCCAAGACACATCCCAACTAACCGTCTCCAAGTATTGACAAAGTGCTCGCTCGCCGCTATCATGGCCGCACAACCCATCAACCCCAAGACCGAAAAGCCATACAGACCTCTCTTCCTTCCCCCTCCCACAGAACTCCCGCTCCGCCACTGCTCGCACAACGCGGACTCCACGCCCATCGACGAAATCGAGTGCCTCCTCTCACTGCTTTCACCCAACGCAGACTCAAAGAAGAACAAGGAGCACTACATTCTCGCGTGCGCGGACCCAATCTTGAGAAAGACCAACAATAGCGAGAGCCAGCCCCGCAGACGGAAGACAGAGGAGGATCGTAAAGAAGAGGAAGCTATGCGCCGTTCTCACGCTTTGCGCTCCGGTGCCCGCTCTATTCCAGGTGTACCTATCATCTACGTCAAGCGCTCGGTAATGGTCCTCGAGCCGATGAGCGGCCCGTCGGAGATGGTGCGGGATGGTCATGAGCGTGGGAAGTTCCGCGCTGGATTGGATGTGGATCCTATGCTCGGCAAGCGTAAGAGAGATGGCGAGGCTGATGGCGAGAGTGCTGGTGAGGAGGAACCTAAGAAGAAGCGCGGTCCTAAGGTTAAAGCGCCTAATCCTCTCAGTGTGAAGAAGGCTAAGAAGAAGATTGATGTGCCTACACCGAAGAAGAATAAGGCTGTCCCCAAGGATGTTGTCGCGGATGCTACTGAGCAAAATGATGGCGATGAGTCTGCCGCACCCAAGCCTAAGAGGAAGCGTCGTCATGCTAAGAGTGGTCCTCGTGAAGACTACGAGGAGGCCGCCGAGCCTAATGAGGCCATGGAGGTTGACGCTTGATTGAATCTTTACGGCATAGGCGACTCATGATGCTGGTTATCATTGCATGCATTCTCAACCTTATTTCACTCTAGGGTGCGGCGTTCAGATCGGATGGGTTATATCTAAAAGTTCAGCTGATGTACATAATAGTAATGTACATCTGATATCATTCAAGAGGTCCTATAATCCGCAGTATATCGTAGATTCAGTGTTTGGCATTGGTGCCTGATAAAAATAGGACAGAAGACAGCGAAGGCTAGTTGGCCATATGTATATTTACATGTTCAGATATCGTACAAGTACTCTTCCCCAGAAATGAGAGGAGATAATTTGGGCTCGGTTTGCGTGTGCCCATGCATTCTTATGGGAATATATCCCAGTCGAGTTGCAATATCGGGCCCATGCGGAATGCTGCCACCAATACCAAGCAGCGGTGCTGTCTTTTCAGGTATCAGTTAAATCAAAGAATAGCCATACAAAGCACACTCCAAACTCCAAACCCAAACATGATGGCATATGCTCATCTCATAGCATAGTCTATTGCTTCGCGGCACTGGTATTGGCCGCTGCTGCAACATTCGCCACTGCAGCAGCCGGAGCAGGCCCTTGACTGAGCTCGCGCTCCTTGGCCCAGATCTCCTCAACACGCCGGCGGTTGCTGCGCGCATCGTCTCGGTTGCGCTTTGCGCGCTCATATCGTTCTGCGGAGAGGCATTTGTTCACGTCACGCTTGATATCGTTGCAGCTTCCAATGACTTTATGTAGGAACCCCTTAGCGTGACACTCGTCCAGAGCAGTCATGATCTCTTCGCAATCTGTGTGGTATCAGTCAGTACCGGCAATTATAAAGCGAAAGGGACGGCTAGATGATTATTCCGGGTAGGTGAACTCGACATACTGGCATTGTAAGAAGTGTGGAGGTGAGAGTGCATAATTGCGGTGGTATTAGGCTGAAAATCAGAACAATTTGAAAGACAATTGCAAGTTCAATCATACGATCAACGCAAAGCACGTAACATCGCGGGTCCGCAAAATGTCCGGGCGGTAAGGAGATCGGCCTGATTCTGCCGGGCGGAAAGCCCCTCGAGGCACACCGATAAAAAAAAATATCGCCGATAAAAAAAAAGTGGACGGTGATCAGTTTTGTCACAACACTTTCACAATGTCTTCCATGATTACGACTACGACATGGGTGAAGCGCGGTGTCGCTGCCCAGTTCCCTACCAAATATGAGATCGATGAGGCCGAGATGGGCCGCATATCTAAGCTTGCGCGCATGCAGCTTGAAGATGCGAAGGACGATATGAATGCTGCCCAGGAAGAAGCTGGGGATGAGGGTGACGATGCTATGGTTGATGATGCTGAGGAGAAGACCGCAGCCAAGAGCACCGATCCAACGTGAGTAATATTGAGCGCAATGGGGATTTAACTCGTGCTAATTGGATTTACAGTGATGATGATGTGTTGAAGGAATTCGACATGGATAACTATGACAAGGAGGAGATGGATGAGGATGGAGAGAAGGTCACCATGTTCGGCAATGTTCAATCACTGGCCTACCACCAGCCCAACGAGGAAGACCCGTACCTTGTGATCCCCGAGGACGAGGATGATGAAGAACGCGAGGAGCTCCAGATCATGCCCAACGACAACCTTCTATTGGCCGGAAAGGTGGAGGACGAAGTTGCGCACTTGGAGGTCTACGTCTATGAAGACAAAGCGGACAACCTCTATGTGCACCACGACATCATGTTGCCCGGCATTCCGCTTTGCACAGAGTGGCTTGATATCCCCGTTGGCAAGAATCCCGAAGGTCGGACTCAAGGAAACTTCGTGGCTATCGGAACCATGGAGCCCGATATCGAGATCTGGGATCTGGATGTTGTGGACTGCATGTACCCCAATGCCATTCTCGGACAGGGTGGCCAGGACGCCGATAAGATGAAGAAGAAGCAAAAGAAGAAGGCCAAGGCCAACGACGAGTACCACATCGATGCCGTCCTGGCGCTGGCCGCCAACCGTCAGCACCGCAACCTGCTTGCCTCGGCCTCAGCTGATAAGACCGTCAAGCTCTGGGATCTCAACACTGCCACCTGCGCCAAGTCCTACTCCAACCACAAGGACAAGGTCTGCTCACTAGACTGGCACCCAACCGAGTCCACCATCCTGCTAAGCGGCAGTTATGATCGCACTGTGGTGGCAGCCGATATGCGTGCGCCGGACGCCCAGGCCCGCTGGGGCGTCGACGCCGATGTCGAGTGTGTGCGCTGGGACTCACACGACACCAACTTCTTCTACGTGACTACCGACGGCGGCATGGTTTACCGCTACGACATGCGTAATGTCCCCACCACCCCAGCCGAGTCCAAGCCTGTCTGGTCTCTGCAAGCACACGACTCCTCCGTTTCATCCTTCGATATCAACCGCCACATCCCCGGCTTCCTGGTGACTGGCTCAACAGACAAGACCGTTAAGCTGTGGAGTGTCGAGAACGACAGACCCACTCTGATTGTTACGCGCAAGCTTGAGGTCGGCAAGGTGTTCTCTGCTTCCTTCGCACCCGACCAGGAGGTCAGCTTCCGGTTGGCGGTTGCTGGTAGCAAGGGTAATGTGCAGATCTGGGATGCTTCGACTAACGGCGCTGTCCGTCGTGCGTTTGTGTCTCGTCTGCCTGATCTTGCTGGCGATGTCCAGGAGCGCACTATTGGTATCAGTGCTGATGATGATGAGTCTGATTCGGATGAGGGTGAGGATGATGGTGAGGGCGAGCCTCGTGGTGGTGATGGCTGGGAGTCGATGGATGAGGACTAGGTGGATACAGATACCCGTGGATCCTTTCCGTTTCATATGCGCCAAAAAATAGATTTGCTGTTGGGTTTTGCATGTTAATGACCAGTCTGTTATGAAGTTTTGGAAATATGAGAACAATTCCAATGACATTCGTGGGAACGTAGGAGCATGACTAACTAGTACAAGTACCATCTTGAGGGGATATCCAATCTATATTTTGTGTCAATGCAGCAAACTAATCATGAATCTTAGCTGTCAAACTTTCCGAGTGAATCGACACCAATACTTCCACGATCGATGTTGGATGCCTTTCTTATTATCTACTAGACAAGAGAGAAAATGTGCTCCCGGAATGGGGGCGGGGATAGTATAGATTCCCAGCAGCACATAGTCACTAACCATCAAGCCGCTGATTTTGTTTCGAATTATTGTCTGGGGAATACCTTGACTTCATATGTATGTGTACCCAAATCCCATACCACATGACCATAGTCCACTTCCAAGGTTGGCTTCTTTTAGCGGACCCACATAACGCAACCTTAATTCTAAAACAGACCCCATGTTGTATGTCGTATCTGCACACTAGTAGCATAAGGGGTGATATTTGGCCTTATATTTTGACGGCAATCTCCTATACATAGCTACATCTACTAGTACCCTGTAACTGCAGGAAAGGGAAGTATGTCAAAGTCACCCTCTGTTAGCCCTTGGTCACTTGAAGATGACGACTGTTGATTAACTATCGCCAAAGTCCCGCCGCTAGGAGCCAAAGGAATGACGTGAGCCGACTGAATGTAGTGCCCGAAGCGGGATTGCGACTTTTTTAGGTTTAAAGCGAGAGAAGTGCTAGAGGACATGATAGCAAACGTTACTACGTACATTTTTCTATACTTGCTTTCCATCCCGCAATCCAAATTTAAAGTTTTGCGGGTGATTTACTAGAAAAACACTAAAGCAAGATACCAAGTGAATTGTAAATGCTAGAGCTATCCATATCTTATACAGCTTGTAAAAATCTCTCAATAGCACTACTAGCACATAATGTCTAGTGTTGTTTGGCCTATGAAAATTTGTTCTTTTTTTAACAAAAACCACCAATAAACCAGGCATCTATCCCTAATCTTTGATTGGGATTCCCTTTCAATATATATTCCCACTGTACCAAGTTCTTCACACAGCTGCTGTGGCAAAGTACAAGGTAGAACTAGTGCAAAGCATGTATGGGATGGAAGATATCTTGCAAAGATGATTTATATGCTCAAATTGTCTGTCTGATCTCTCAATACCTGCCGAGAAGCCCATATTTATGGGTTTCTACCCACCCCTCAATTGGTAATAGAAACATGAATGGAATCACAAAGAAATGGAGAGGTCGAATTCCATTGAAGCCGCTAATCTCGATTGCGTTGAAGCCGAGTTCCTTCGTATGCAAGTGCCTTGGCATAATGAATGAGGCTTGGCGTTGAAACCATCCCATGTTAGTTACTGCGAATTAGCTGGGATTAAACTGGGATCTCAACACATGCAATACAAGACGCTTGCTATATTCTTCGCCACTATAGCCTTGACTGCTGCATCCAAAGACTCCGCACTTGATCCCATTCCTGACTCCCTCGCCTCAGTGTCTACATAGGTTGCAGACGCGCTGAGTAGCGCTGAACCAACTGTGTGGGACTCTTCCCTTAGGTCTGACTTTGCATTCTTGTCGTCTGTGTTGGTTGCGCAAAATGCCGGGACTATGCCCCCGCCTGGTATAGCAACCTCCCTGAGAGCGTTCAAGAGTGGGAATCTTCCAGAGAGGCAGCGATCGTTTCTTACGCCCAAACAGCCACCCAGTACTAGCCCACCTTCGCCAGCTCGTACACCACTGCTACATTTAGTGGCACAAGTACTTCATCTTTGTCTTCCGATGCCAGCACAAGTTTGGTCTCTACCGGCGGTGTCCCTGCCGCCACTAGCGTTATTTTCATAGGGCTTGCAATTGGCCTTTGATGCCTGAAAAGTTGAAAAATACTGTAACGAGATATAAAACGACCATATGTTTTGCTTCTTGTGTATATTCATACTGGCCTTAGCTTTGAGTCATATGAGCTCTTTATTCTGTCCGACTTAGGGCGGCTATACACCTACATAAGCAAACCCGGAACAACAGTTAACCCAGAGATAGTATGGGCGGTCGGATTGGTCGATTAGTGTCTGAGCACCCACTATACGTATCCCAAAAGGGACCCCGAGTAAACATCCACTTACTGTACACATAGCTAATTGTTGATTATTTAACACCTTCCTCCTGCCCAGGTCCTAACTACGTAGAACCTCTGCATCAATATCATTTTCTCAAACATGGACACTAGTTTCCAGGCCGCTATCGACGCCGGTAAGATCAACGGCGCTGTAATCTGTGCCACTGACGCCGAAGGCCACTTCGTCTACAACAAAGCAATCGGAAAGCGCACCCTACTCTCAGGCGAGAAGCAGCCACAGCAGCTCGACGACGTGCTATACATAGCTTCAGCCACTAAGTTGCTCGCAACCATCGCCGCCCTACAGTGCGTCGAAGACGGACTATTAACTCTAGACGGGGATCTATCGTCCATCGCCCCAGAGCTTGCTGCCAAACATGTTCTCACCGGCTTTGCCGATGATGGTAGCCCTCAGCTCGACCCACCAGCCCGCCCCATCACCCTCAGGATGCTGCTCACCCACAGCTCCGGCACCTGCTACCACTTCATGAACCCGCTCGTCGCCAAGTGGCGGGCCCAGTTTGCCAACCCCGAGAATAACGACCCTCGCACAGTCGAGGAGATGTTCAGCTACCCGCTCATCTTTCAGCCTGGTGCTGGCTGGATGTACGGGCCAGGTCTTGACTGGGCTGGTCGCGTGGTGGAGCGCGTTACGGGCGGAACGCTGATGGAATTCATGCAGAAGCGTATATTTGACCCGCTCGGTACTGCAGATGCTCAGTTCTATCCTGTCACTCGTGAGGAGCTACGAGCCCGTCTCGTCGACCTCAACCCCGGTGATCCTGGTGCTGTTGGTATTGCCGTACTCGGTGGTGGCGGCGATATGAACTTGCGGGGCCGTGGTGACTTTGGTGGTCATGGGTTGTTTTTGCCCGGCGTGGATTTTGTTAAAGTTCTGCGCTCATTGTTGGCTAATGATGGCAAATTGCTCAATGCCAATACCGTCAACGATATGTTCCAGCAAAATCTTAGCCCTGAAGCGGCGGCAAGTCATCAAGCTGCGCTTGCTAGTCCTATGGGCGTCTTTTTCAGCGTCGGCACGGATCTGGGGATGAAGGTTGGCCATGGTTTGGGCGGTTTACTGACGCTTGAGGATGTTGATGGATGGTATGGCGAGCGGACGTTGACTTGGGGTGGTGGCTTGACCCTTGCTTGGTTTATTGATCGAAAGAACAACCTATGTGGTATCGGTGCCATCCAGGCTGCGCTGCCGGTTGATCTAGAGTTGGTGTCCGAGCTGAAGCAAACCTTCCGTCATGATATTTACAACAAATATACTGCGTGGAAGGGCCAGCAGTAGAGATAATCGATGATGGAGAGGGAAGGATGCCTCTTTTCTCGTTTGTTATGTAATTTATTCGATTACGGGACATGCAGGTATCACTCTTGTTTGCATCAAAGATACATAGAACCTACAATCTACGGTCACCTTGAACGATGCATAGGTCGGCTTCGATATATGATGTATCCAGGTGGGTCTCAATGACAGATCACAACCAAAATCAGATGGCTTTTAAAAGAGTAATAAATTTACATTTCTGTTGTACAAGCGACCCCTAAGACCAAGGCAGGTCAAAGGGAATATTAAAATAAAAAAGGGAGAAATATCACCACATGAAGCGCTGAAGCTTGCCAGGCTCCTGCGGCCACTCAAAGCCCTTGTAGAGGAAGACATATCCGGTGATCAAATTGATGATCAGGAACCAAACCGTCTCCACGAACTTTGGTGAGTTAATAATAAAGTCAGCGCGGCGTTTGGCTTCCTCTGTGCGGGGGCGAGTCTCGCGGTCCCTGAACAGACATGGCAGAGGAGGAAGATGCACACGCCACATAACCCAAGGGATAATGAAGTAGCGGGGTTCGACGAGGGGTGCTGTGATGAGAGATAGGGAGGTAGCGGCCAGCCAAACAAGAACGAAGCTAGCTCGCGGTGCCTCCATCAATTCTCTCTGACGTGTGAGGATATGTTGCTGGACTCTAGCCAAAATCGCGGGATCATTTGGATCCGTAATTTCTGCTGGTGGCTCAGTTTTCTTGGTCTCTGCTGGAAGTTCAGGCTTCTTGGCCTTCTTGTTATTGGGTCTGTTGGGCTTCTTCGTTCCCTTTGGCGGCTGTTGGTGTGCCGGTGCAGGCTTGCGCGCAGAGGATGAAGTGGGTTTGGGCTCTTGAGTTGCCGGAGCTGGGGCTGGAGCTGGTGCCGATGGTGCAGCTGGGGCAGATTTCTGAACTCGCAGGGTTTTGGGCGGACGTTGGATGGTGGTAAATCCAAATGCAGAGATCACAGCCCATCCACAGAGGAAGTAGATTGGGACTGCTGCATACTTGACTGCTGGGTGAAGCAAAAGAATACGGAACACGTAGAACACATAGTGTCGGTTATCAGCGAGGGTGAAGGGGTGCACAATGGTGTTGAAGTGGACCACGGCAAGCATAAGCGGAATGACAATCAGGGCTGCCGCGAGCTTCGGATATTTCCTCTGTTTCGGCGGGAAACCGAGGTTCAGGTATTTGGGGAGTGGCTTGAGGGCGAGAATATTGATCAGAGGAATGACGAAAAGAGGCCACGAGAAGAAGGTGAAATACGGCCAGATGTAGAGCATCTGAGCCAGGTGGATACCCGCGGTATGGAACTCCTTGTGGCCTATTGGATAGCAAGTGTCAGTCAAGGGTCACATTTCATAAAACAGGCCACTCTTACCTAGGACGACTCCGTTGTTCCAAAGAACAAATGCACCAAAGGCCGCAAGGACGATGATGTGAGGAATGAGAGAAACGAGAAGAGAGAAAGGCTGCCGCAGGCCGACAGTTGCAAGTGAAATAGCAGTCTTGAAGTAATCTATATCCTGAGTTAGGATGGTGCCCTGCTTGCTTCAATTGTGTGTTCAACAGATCACTTTACCTTCCAAGGAAGCTTCCGAAACGAGAGGATCATACACCTCATTCTGCAGGCCTTGTTGCACGATAGTTGACACCTTGGATGACATGCAGGGCGAGGCAGACTTTCGAATCTTGCGGACCACCTGCAGGCCACCTAGAAAAATCGAGACCCAGAAGATATTGGTCTGTCGGAAGACCAATGCAGCCAGGGCGAAACCCAAGAATCCCAATGTCTCCAGAATGCCATTGCTGGGCGCTCTTTTCACACCTTCTCCCGACTCAATATTCTGGTCTCTCTCTGAATCTCTCTTCAGATCCCAGTTGTACGCCTCCACGACGACCAGCAATGCAAGAACATCTGTGTAGTACAGGCCGGAGAAGAAGAACAGCGGGGGGAACAAGCAGATGTTCAGCACGGTGTGTGATATGTTCGCTCCCAGCGGCCGAGTATTTTTCGTCTTCTGCAAGGTATCAAGCAAATTTTGCAGTCTCCATGGGAGAATAACTGTTGTCGCACCAACGTTCGTCATGCGCAGGACATCCGGAGTGAGCTTTGTCGGGGACCCGCGTAGCAGCAGCACAATAGCGAAGATGATGTATGAGCACAGATACAGGCCCGGTGGGGTTGTCAGCTTCGGATCCCATTGCGTCCACTTATGCGCCCAGTATGCTTGTGCCTGCGGGACATGGAAGACTTCGTCGAGGTAGGGTTCTGGGACAGCCTTGTTGACAAGACTCACCCAGAGAGGAATCAAGACTAAACAAAAGGGGACCAACCATCGAGCACTCCGGCTGCGATCAGATTCTGGAGGATTGACCATGCTGTCTATATAACCATTAGCAGCAATCTTGAAAAGTTGCCTGACAATTTGCAATTCTTCGGCCACCGGGTCCCAGGCGGAGCTTGCGGAGCTCATCCGATGCAAACGTTTCAAACGTTTGGACAGTTTCGAAGTTGTCATCTCGACGTGACTTCAAATTAAGTGAAGACATTCAAAGAAAAAGCAATTGAGAATTTGAAAACCAGATATACGATCATCAGAAAAGAAAAGAAAAACGAGAGAAACGCGAAGCAAACGGTCAACATCGCGACCAGGACGACCTATATCATCCCAAGAAAAACCATGAGATCGCGACTCTAAGAAATTGAAATCGCCTTCACTTTCCTATTCACATTATGGCTTTCCCTCTTCCTCGGGGCATCACAGCCTCAGAGATCGCCTTCCTGGCGGAGATGGAAACAGTGACAATTGTGCCTCGCCAACGTCTAGAAGGCCTCGAATTACTAGGAGTGAATGCGCCTCCGAACTACTTCATCTGAACTCTCCAAATCTAACTATCTGCAGGGCCCCGTTGAACCTCTCGTCCCGCCCCGACGCGCCTCACTCCCCCTCTGGCTCGCACTCCTCCTCAAACGCCAACGCCGCGCAAACATCATCCCACCAACATGGCTACACCCAGAGCCATTAGCTCTCATCCTCGAATTCGAGTCCCAGCACCAAGACTACAAAAACGCTTTCTCCCCACCTCCTCCCCTCCCTGGTCAACCTAGCATTCTAGACCGCGACGCCCTACCATTTGCTCGACCGCAGTTTACACCAGATGGTAATCGGTACTATGCGGCGCCGCCTTTCCTACCCCAAAACACAGCCCAGACCGTGACGTCCTCGCGAGATCCGCCCTCACTACCATTTCACTGGGTTGAGGTTGGGAATATGCTGCTTGAGGCCGCAAGCGATGATCTCGTGGACCCGGATCAGATACGGAGACTGCTGAAGGACCTGCGCGAGGTGCGCATGGCGAAAATGAGGTCTGGTGTTGATGTTCTGGATGCTGCGGCGACCGGTGGCGGTGGTGTTGCTTTGACGGGTGTCGGTGGTATGGAGCTAGGAGAGGAGCGAGGGTTTATTACTGGCGTGGTGGATGGTCTGCGGTATGTTTGGTCTCATGCTCGGACACTTTCATATCCGAGCACATGGGATACGGAAAATTTCGTTGCTAACTGGCGCATAGGAGAATTGGGTCCTCCAAGGAACAAGCCCGCCGTGAACAGATGGCCGAGCAGAGAGCAAATGGTGGCTATGACGGCACCCAGGACAATGACGAAGAAGAAGATTACATGGAGTTCTAAGCATTTCGAGCCGTATTTTTTTTTCTCCTGTTTTTGGGTTTCTTTTATTCGGAGTTCTTCGGTGCATATGTGACGCAGACCAATGCTCAAAACGACTTTCATGTATATAATCCAATATACCCTTCGGATCCAATGACCAACGGTTATAATCGAAATTGTTCCAATTTAACTAACACCATATAGCATGCGAACGCTTTAATACAAACGACGAATGATGTCGCGAGACAAAACCAAAAGAATGGAGAGGGTATATCGGCCCCCAGGAAACATTGGTTCCGGGTTTGGCTAGGTTATCGACGTCAAAAACAGTGTACAGAGAATTACATTGTCGGCAGGCGAGCGTGACAATTCTCATATCATTGGACATCGCCCTGGTTCTTTTGCATCATCTTCCTCCGCGCCGCCAAGATCATGTCATCCCGGCGCTTCTGTAGTATCCGCTGGCGCTCTTCCTTATTCTGAGACCAGGAGGTCTTCGAAGGTGTTTCGGGCTGTGATTCCACAGGAGGGCTATCGGCCTTTTCTTTCAGATTATACCGAGAGATCAGGTTCTGTGCGTCGACTTGGGGTGTGGATGTGGCCGTGGCGGTCTGCGTCGGCGGGATGTTGGTGGACGGGATTGGGACCTGAGGCTGGAACGAAGGAGGAGGCTAAGAGAGTGGATTAGTCAATGCTTTGATATTTGAAGTCGATATTTGAAGCCTGCAGCCAAGTCGGGTTGTCTTGGGCAAAAACAAGGCGGGGAAAATTAATGACAGCATCAGCTCAACACGTACCGTTTCCAGCCCCCGTCCAGTCAAAACTCTCTCTGTCGTTGCAGCGACACTGCCCCCATTACGTTGCAGATCCCACATTATATCCCGAGTGCTCAGTTGAGGGAACATCTGCGCGATCTGTTCCACCTGTGCCGGATCGACAACATTGCCGCGCCCCCGACCTCGGTTTCCTCCCGCGGAGCTTTCATCGCGGTTAAAGAACCATCGGAGCACAAAGTATGATACAACCGCTAGAGTCAGAAGCGAAGGTATGTTCAACGAAGGGTCGTCGTCTGTCATCTTGTGTTGGCGGAGCGGAAGTTGAGTGAGGTGTTCGGGGTCCCAGTGCTGGTATCTAGCTGTGACGGTTCTGAGAGAAAGGCAAGAAGTCGAGTTGAATATGATTTGATACAAGTGATGCCCAGGCGGGATACTTCAGTATTGGCTCAATGGGGGTAATTCAATGAAATCGAATGCGCATTGGAAGGTGGCACCGGGTCGAGAATCGGGCACGTGCCGGGTATCGGAGTTTCCAAG